CCCCCTCCTCACCTTCCGTGCCCTCTGCCTCCTGCTCCTGCTCCTCCTCATTTTCACTGCCCGTCCGGATCAGAGGGTCACCGACCGGAGCGAGTCTGCCACCGCGACCACGAAGTGCACGCGACCGCCGCCCTTCTTCTGTGTCATCACCACGAGAGACACGGTGAAAATTGGAGAGGGAGGTATAAGTCGGTTTTGGAACTCGGCGACTCTTCCTAGATTGGGCTTGAGACGCAGACGGCTCAGTCTTTATTCGAGCGTTAGAGAGCCTGGAGAAGGAAACCGCGAGAATGGATAAAAGTACAATGTTTCGCCGCTTCTTAGACGTCAAGAAAGTAATAAAAGGCAGATAATATTGCCGGGAAAGACAAGGGAGACTGGGATGGCCATTTCTGGCTTATTAGCTGTAGTCAGCTAGGCCTACCCAGTCCCAAGCGATGCACCACTCGAGGCTCGAACTCGCGACTGCTGCACCGCGAGCTCGTTGTCTTGCCGGTTTCGGTCGGGAGATATTGACACTAGTTGATGAACGTTCACCGACCGCTAACGGCAGTATTATCTGTCAATACTATTAGCTGGTAAAGAAATGAGGCCCAAGGCAAAGACGGAGCGGGACAAGTGAGTTCTATTAGCGGTCGGCGAACGTTCATCAATCAGCGCCAATATCTCCCAATCGTAATCGGCAAGACAACGAGCTCGCGGCTCAGTGGTTCGGACGTGGTTCGCGGCGAGGCGCATTAATTCAAGGCCGGCGGAAGAGTAAGCACCACGCTCTGACGATGAGAACGAGCATGTTTTTGAAACGGCAGCAAGAATACAATTTGGTCCCAGCACTTGCCCCCTCTTCTTCTTCCTCTTCCGGGGATGATGAGCACGATAATACTACCTGTCTATACTATTTACTGCTACAGCTGCTGTCAGGGCCCGATAAATGCGACCCAAGGCAAAGGCGGAGCGGGACAAGTGAGTTCTGTTAGCGGCCGGTGAACGTTCATCAACTGATGCCAAAGTAATAAAACGCTGCCTTCAGGGAAGTCAATTTCACAAGAGACAAAATGTTGCACAGTCTACTGCAATTGCACGAGAAGGCTTCAAAAAGGCGCGGGTTTCCAAAAACTGTACGAACACTTTTCGGTGTGAATTGAGAGAGAGAGAGCCACAGATAAAAGGTTATTGCTGATGGTCCGTACACCAATTTGACTACTGCAAGGCTAGTCTTAGGCATTATCTCTCAAATAGTCCCCGAAAGAGTCATCCTTCCATGCAGCGGTCTCCTAGGACCACAAAGCAAATATATGAGTTAGCATCTGTTGTAAGATATCCACGCAGCACCTGGGAGTCTGCTCAGTCGAGGGCGATTCCAACCCCCGGGTGAAGCTCACAGCATAATCACGTTTTTTTTCAGTTATAACTATTACAAACAGTTGGATTATGCGAATCGGAAATGTTTCCATTAGATCAGTCCGATTTGCGAAACCTATAGGACAAGATCTCAAAGTAAAACTTCAGTTCGCCCCAGACAAACAACTCCAAAGACGTGGAGGGTGCGGATAGAGAAGGAAGCAATGCTATGGGATGCCTGTGTTAGATTTTACGAACGAAAATAATTCAGAATCAAGGACTCGTAAAAGGGCGAGTGCAGTCGATGTGGTGGAAGTCGCATGGCCAAAAATACTCCCCCTCCTAAATGCTCGCAGCGTCAACTTCATGCGTCTACGAAGGTGGCTGCTTTTACGCTTTCTGTCCTGAAGACCCTTGACCGACATTCTACTCGCACACAAGCGTGCCCAACAAGTCGCGCTTTCTCAATGCCCCCCCCCTCGGCGAATGGAACATGGGCCTCTACAGGTGACACCACTTCGGGCAACGCAAAAGACAAACGGCAAACCACTTAAACTAGCTACACAATTATGTAAAGGCAACTGTCATTATCACCTCTCTCTCACATTAACACACAGCTACGCTCGGGCACGACTGGACGCAGCCAACATCAGCCCTGAGCTTCGCCAGTGGCCACTGTTGCCCGAGACAGCAATGCAGGGTTCTGTTCACAATAAAATCCTCACTCTGGTGACTTCTGCCGCCGTTTACCAGTAACCTGGAATTTGGTGCTCTAAGCACAACCACTACTCAGACCGCTAGAAAATCACGCACGAATCACCAAAATTCCGTCCAGGACAGCGGGATCGACAGAAAGCAGGAGAGCGAGAATCGGTACGCATTAAAGCCAGTGGCAGTGAACAGAGTGACAGTCATTAGCTTCGTACGCCGACAGCTTATGGAGTGCGCGCTTTAGCCAAGCAGGCAACAAAGGTCTAGGAGAAAAAAAGGGGAGGCACTGGAAAGACAGACGAAGGGACTTACAGGGCATGACCAGAGGCCGTAGCAGCAATATAAACGCTATCCAGCTCCATGTCACTGTCGTCAGAGTTGGTACGTCCGTCGGCCGCTGTCGCATCATCATTAACGGCATGCGCCGGCTGCGAGTTACGGCTCTGACAAGAGCGCTTATGTAATTCACGGAAGGCAGCGTCTCCTTCGTCACCACGATCTTCAGCTGCCACCCGTTCGTGTCGAGCGCGCAGTAAACGGTCCCAAAAGTCCGCAATTTCTTTCTGTCCAACCTGAAGGGCACAATCAAAGTAAGGCATACAGTCGGATGAAAACGTATATCACATTTTCTAGCACTGTGGCATATGCCCCAGACAAGTAAACTGGTTCATCCTTATTTAAAACAGCAGAGAGGTATGAATTCACCACGGAATCGGCCATATTTTCAGGTTTCTTGCGAATTGTGAGCAGGGACGGGTCCTTAAAAACACCTCGGATTGTTTGTTCGAGATTGCCTCCTCTAGCACTTTGGCTCGCCAGCCTAACTACAAGGCAGCGGCGGTGGCGAGCGTCTCGCGGAAAGACGCGAGTTCGAACCTCGGGTGTGGCGTCAATTTCCGCTGCTACATTGGAGTTGGGGTAGCACCACCTGATGAAGCCTAATGAAGCAGAAAAGGCCTTCGTGGGATGTCGCCTGTGTTTGTCGTTAAGACATTGTTACTTAATAGCGGATGGCGGTTGTCAAATCACAGTACCGTCATCGGGCTCTGCGGATTTTTATAAGGCTTTTGCGGTGTCAGACCTCAGCCCACCGCACCCTGCTAGCACTGTCGCTGCTGGTCCCCGATTGCTTATTCGCTTATTTCGTGCGGATTCTGGTCCATAACCACTTGTCAGAACCACTTGCTATTCGGTCTGGCTTTCGACAAGGTTGTATCCTGTTGTTCATTCTGTACGACTACTACACTGATTGGATCCTCGGTAATGCCCTAAATGAAGAAGACAGTGTTGAGATTGCATCCGGACGCCAGATGACTAATCTATACTACGCCTTACTAGCTTCAAGCTTTAAAGATCTGCAGTCTATGATGTCACATGTGAATGAGACTTCATGTCGGACCCACCAGAGGATCCAGTCGATGGCCGACAGGATACAGCCTTCTCGAACGCCAGAGCGAATGGCCAACTGTTATGAATGGTTGAAAGTATCTACTTCTGCAAGGTGACAGCCACCAATCTCGAGATGCACCTTCTCTTGGACAGGGATGCAGCACAAAGACATTTGGGTCTTTGTGCACTCGCTGCGACATCGCACGGACATCCCAGGCCATCGACGAACGACGACTGAGGCGGTTTGGACATGTTCTTCGTCGTCAACCCTATGAGCTCAGTGTAACCGTACTCCATCGAACACCGTTACTACATCGGAGACGCTGAAGAGGGGTCAGCTTAAAACCTGGTTCGAAAGAGTTCGTCAGGCCATGGAAGTTGTTGTTGGACCTTCAGTATTCGACCTCCGTCGTTGGAGGAGACTAAATCGAACTGTCCTTGTCTACCACCACGGATCATCAGACGTGGAGTGATACAGTTCATGACATCATCGCACTTGTAGCAAGATGTAGTACAAGTAACTCACCACAGGAGGATCAATGACTTCATTTTCGGCCGTCGATGGCGGTTGAGAAGCAGACCTGCAGAGTTCGGACACAGAAGCGTCGCTAGCCGCTTCTGTGACGGACGGCCTGTCCGGAGCTTGACCAAAATGTGCCGACTTAAAGACACTAAGGTAGTCATCGGCCTCTCCAGTCACCTCATCTACATCCGGCTCGCGATTACGATCTAGAAGCTGGTCCACAGCGGCGTCGGTGTACACCAGTGGCTGCAACTTCGGCTTTGCGACCTCAGTTGACACCTCAGAACCTAGAGAGTGAGTAAATGAAATTTCGAAAGGCACAAGTAGCACAATATATTATATTTATCAAGAAATGAACTTTTGAACAGGATTAAGTCGATTTTCGTAAGAATCAATGCTTTTAAGAAGTTAATTTAGGCAAACGAGCATCTTCCATTATTTATCAGCAAGCTAGCACGATGATACAAGTGAGGGTAGGTTTAGCAAAAGTTAAAGCAACCAATCAATAATAATTCGGGGAGGTATTAAGGGATCAAAGGGTCAAGTTCTAATTATAATTGGGGACCAGATAGAGGAGGGAGGGAAAAGGGGCTCTGGTTATTAGCTAGTGGCAGCCCGTCGTTCCTGTCTCGCGTCTTGTTGTGAGGGTTCAGAATGCGAGGTGTCACAGTCTCTCGATGGCGTGGGCAGCGTGGAAACGCATGCGGCCG